GCGCTTTAAAGGATTTTTTTTTTCACCTAACAAATGCAAAATTGTTATTGCGGACCTTAAAAGAGAATACGAAATTATCCAAAAGTACCACGTCGAAGTGGTTGGGAGTGACAAAAATGACAGTAGTAATGAAGATGTATCATTGGCAACTTTGATTTCATCAACTGCTAGTGCAACACCACCACCATCTAAAAAAAAAGAAAAGTGATGAAACCACCCGCGATTCCCACGAGCTATTTTGGTCAGTTTATAATGAATTGGCAAAAGGTCCCTCTTCTTTAAAAGCTGAACCTACAAAGATCGAGGAAGAAATGAAGGGCTACAGGTCATGCTTGGTGCTTGAAAAAACTGAAAATCCTTTTAGTTGGTGGAATAATAAAGAAGACCTGTTCCCGGCCTTGTATTTGCTGGTCAAGATTTATCTTTCTGCGCCTGCTGGAAGTGTTGCTAGTGAGCAGCTTTTTTCGCAAGCCGGTAATATTTACCAATCGGCGAGGAATCGGCAGGGCAGAAAGCCTTATTTTTCTTCATTACAATTTAGAAAAACTTAATTTTAAGTATTAATAATTAATAATTAATTCAATAATTTTAAAACTGCTTTCGAATATTTTTTGTTTTGTTTTTTTTTAATTAAGAATTTTTTTATGTTTATTTATTTTTTGTTTTGTTATAAATAAAAGATAATAGGTACTTTTATATGATTTTTGATTTTTCTATATTTCAAGATCATTCTGAATATAATTTTTAAGTGTTTTTAAGAAGCGTTTTCAAATTTAAATATCGGCCGACATATCGGCCAAATATAGGCCGATAGGCCGATATACCGATATACCAAAAATAGGCCGATATACCGATATAGTATATCGGTATCGGTCGATCCCTAATAATTAGTTATTTTTGACTAATAATTTGCAAATATTAACCATATTTTATGTTAATCCAGGTCCACATAACTTTATGTTTAGTTTACAACAAACTGTACTCTGTTAACTAATTGAATTAGTAGTTTGTAATTATAACTAACATTTTGTAGATTTATTAACAAAATCCTATGTCAATAATTCAACCATAATTTTTGTCATTTTCAAAAAGGACCTTGTTTTTACAAACCTTTTCGTAGACCCAGTAACAAAATTATTTGTTGGAAATTGGAAACTTAAATGAAAAGAATGTTGATAGGAAATGTTGCTTTATTAATCAATTTCCTAAAAAAAAAATTAACACATACCTACATAAATAATCACAAAAATAACAAAGTTTTTTTTTATGGACTGCGGCAACGTTGCAAATTTAGGGTTTTGATTGGTAAATACAGTTGTCAAGTTGGTCGCATTGATTAAATAAAACAAACTAAGCTAGTTATAAATCTAATAATTATTGTGGTTATGTATAAATTATTTTAGGTTACATTGTGCAGTTGTCAAGTAGAGTTGTCGAAATTCGTAGTTAAAAATGCAATTAATTTGGCTTTGGTAGTGCTTGGATGAGTAAAATCATATAAAAAAAGTAGTTAAATTTAGGTTGCTTTACGGCCCAGAATAGAAAGTATTCCTAGCGGATAATAATCTTCGCTTCGAAAAGAATTTATATAAAAGAAAAGAAATTTTTTTGTGAACGTAAATGTTGTCCAATGGTGAATAATGTGAAAATAATGTGTGATGTTTTACTCCAAAAATGTCCATAAGGCGATGTACTTTTTCTTCCATTGTGGCATTTGGCATAATTTCATCAAAATGAAGTTTTCCCCTCAAAAAGGCTTTTACATTCGAATTCGTCGCTCTTCTTTTTGGCATAATAATTATTATAGTCACGGCCAAATCTATATGGGTGCACGTCATCAATGAGATATAATGACGTCAGCATTACCAACTTTGAATTGTAAAGTTACTGCCGTTAAATTTGCTTTTTTAAGGCGTAATTCTGATGTGTTATTTAAAAGAAATCATTCATTTGCGTATTGTTTACCAAGAACTGTAACAATTTCCTTGTTTTAAAACGTTTTTTCACGAAATTATCAAAATAAAACCATTCACTTAGTAATTTTTGTGTGTCCCAGTTGGTAATAGCTTAAGGCTGGCGCGCACCGTTCAATATTATTGATAGGTCGCTGTCATTTTATATTTGACGTATTTTTGTTATTGTGACATTTCGTCCGAAAGCATCGTTTGTTGCAAATTATTATAAATAATAACATTATGTTTATAACATAGAAAAACCTAAAACTCTATGGTTTATAAGATTCAATCCCTGGATTGTGCAAACAATGATATAAGGCCTGTTGGCAACTAGCCGTTATTAGATTTCGAAGACATTGCGCCCTTAATAATAAATTTGGGGAAATAATCAGACATCAATTCTGACCTGGTTTGCTCTGATGACAAGGACGACTGGTAATTTATTATTTTTGTGTTTCTGATAATTTAGTATTTTTTTGTTATGTGCATATGTAATAAAAATGTAATAAACTCCGTTTGTTTTCTCTTTAAACACATTTAATAAAAATTTGCCTGTAACAAACTCCTAATTAGTTAGTGCAGAAGATTATACGAGGACGTTATAATTCCATCTTAATAACAGCCCCCACCGCTATAAACAGTCAACAATACACGGGCGTTAGATTGTGTCTGGGCACGTATGAATAGACCTTAACGCTGACGTCATATGCCGTTGATGACGTGCACCCATACAGATTTGGCCGCGACTATATCTTTTTATTTATAATTGACAAGTAAATTATCAATAATAAATATTATTGTCAATTTAAAAGTGTCAAAGTATTTAAATAAATTCTTTAAATAGGTACTAAAAATACTAAGTCAAACTATAATTACTACTAAAACACTGATGTATTTTGTAACTTTAACCCACTTCACTGTATCCCCTAATTTCAGTTTGAAAACCAGTGATGACATTTTTTTGGATACTTTGCATACTCGTTAAATAGGTTTAGGGAATCCAAATAACAATAATAACAGAAACACTCTGAAAAGTTGTTACGAATTAGAATAAAGTAAGCAGAAACATAAGTTGCAGACGCTGAAGTCAGTTGAACTTGTTTATGCGTATTGTCAGTGGAAATGTTTTGATTGACTGCCATAAATCACGAGTAATTTTTCAACGGAATAATTTGTTAAACATTAACAAACAAATCTGTAACCTTTGAAATTAACAAAATGCTTACAAAGTTGCATATTACCTTTACAAAACTTTCGGTAAAATATTTTCCTTTTTTAAAATAATTACAAACCCAGGTTTTCTACAAAAAATTATATTAAAATTTTACAAAATAAAATTCATGTTAACAAATTTGATTTTTATAACAGTGTACTGGTGTTTAATTTTACTATGCTATTGTTTAGAAACGATTTAGTAAAATTACTAAGAATTAACAGTATAGAAAAAACTACTGTTCAGTTTATTTTACTTAACTAATGATTTTTGGGTAAACCTCATTAAAAAAGTTTATTTAATGCTCTTAAATAATGTTTAGAAAGACTGTATTTTACTACTAAAACATCAGGTGATAGTGCGTTTTTATAGTCCAAATTTTATTATTTTTTAAAGTCTAGAGCGGTATAAATAAACAAAATCGTAATCTTGATAAACTACGCTAGTTTCATAGGAAATTAATATAGTCACGGCCAAATCTATATGGGTGCACGTCATCAATGAGATATAATGACGTCAGCATTACCAACTTTGAATTGTAAAGTTACTGCCGTTAAATTTGCTTTTTTAAGGCGTAATTCTGATGTGTTATTAAAAAGAAATCGTTCATTTGCGTATTGTTTACCAAGAACTGTAACAATTTCCTTGTTTTAAAACGTTTTTTCACGAAATTATCAAAATAAAACCATTAACTTAGTAATTTTTGTGTGTGCCAGTTGGTAATAGCTTAAGGCTGGCGCGCACCGTTCAATATTATTGATGGGTCGCTGTCATTTTATATTTGACGTATTTTTGTAATTTTGACATTTCGTCCGGAAGCATCGTTTGTAGCAAATTATTATAAATAATATTATACATTATGTTTATAAGATTCTATCCCTGGATTGTGCAAACAATGATATAAGGCTTGTTGGCAACTAGCCATTATTAGATTTCGAAGACATTGCGCCCTTAATAATAAATTTGGGGAAATAATCAGACTTCAATTCTGACCTGGTTTGCTCTGATGACAAGGACGACTGGTAATTTATTATTTTTGTGTTTCTGATAATTTAGTATTTTTTTGTTAAGTGCATATGTAATAAAAATGTAATAAACTCCGTTTGTTTTCTCTTTAAACACATTTAATAAAAATTTGCCTGTAACAAACTCCTAATTAGTTAGTACAGAAGATTATAACAAGGACGTTATAATTCTATCTTAATAACAGCCCCCACCGCTATAAACAGTCAACAATACACGAGCGTTAGATTGTGTCTGGGCACGTATGAATAGACCTTAACGCTGACGTCATATGCCGTTGATGACGTGCACCCATACAGATTTGGCCGCGACTATAGGTTAGCTGTTGAAAGCTAATAAATAAATAGACAAGATCGGGAGCTATTTACAGGGAAATCAACATAACATCAAAATTTTATGTAAATAAACAAATGTTCAATGTAAATGAGAAACGACTTGCCTCACTATACATTAGCGATATTAGATATTAATAATTTTCCGAAATATTTTAGACGTAAAACCCATTAATACTCGTCTAATATGTTTATATTTTTTACGAGTATTATATTTTTTAGTGCGCGTAATGTATCAAGATTAAATTTAAATTGCGTCGAGAGTTTACTAAATCACTGTTTTATTATAGATCGTTTTGTGACCCACTAAACGTTAAATATTTGATTAAATTGTTTATTATAATAATCGAAAATAAAATTTACGAAGGACGTAAATTACATCAATGATAATACACGCTTTGTACGGCTAAATTACTGTGTTTATCTATGAATCAATTGTTTAATTTATACAACATATTTCGGTCTTTTTTTTTACAGAAAAACCCGGATTCCAGCCTCCATATGGGGGGATAGATAACGGAATGGTAAGTACCAACACAAATTTGATAAACAAAATTCATTTTTATTTACTTTTAAGTAAAATTACCCCATAGTGTTTATTTTGTTAAGTTTTTTACTCATTTTTATTTGCTATTCACTTAATTACAAATATAAGTTGATGGTGCCATCGATCATGACCTATTTTCATATTATTATCTATTTTGCGTTCATAATGACTCCATTGTAACACCGCTTTCGGTGCTGTAATGAGATACTTTACCCCACCCAAAATTTTGATTTTATAGGTTGGCTATACTTTAAACAGAATACTAGTAAAATAATATTTTGCATATTGGTTTTAATATTTTTATGTTTTTGTAGTACTTACGAGACTTTTTTGGCAATAAATTGTGTTTAACAACAAAGAAAATCCCTTTTTTCTTCTTTAACATTAACAGCCGCTTATATATTGTAAATAAGTAAATTAAGGACGGCATGGCGAATCGGTTTTGACATTAACTGTGAAACCAATGACATAGACCAGTGCAGAAGCCTTAAAAAATGGTAAAAAGAGAAAAAAAATAACAGTAGAATGAAACCCATTGGAAAAGGAGGGGAATATAATAAAAATTAAAGGAAAAATAAATTACGGGCGATCTGAGTTCGGGAAGTGGGAGGGGGGGGTTTTAAGGGTAAAAAATGGTTTATCTCGATTTCCGGCAAAAGTTTTGCCGCAAAACTACAAGTCCTAGGTAAAAAAGTTAAATGTCAAAGTTGTAGGTAATAAAAAGATCTACAACTTTTGTATTTACAATTTTTACACATAACCTCAAAATTTATGTGAAAAAATTAAAAAAAAACAAGTTTTTAGTTTTTTATTTTTATCTTTTTCAAAAAAATTTTTTTTCCACGAAATTTGGTGAAAACTTACCTTTTTATGTCCCAAATACACTGTAATTTATTTGATTTGAAATATTTATTATTTCGCCTTATTTTGACTTAATATCAAAAAAGCACCCTAATTTTCAATCGAAAATTCTCGCGTCAAAATATCAGCTTTTTTCAAAAAGTCGGTGTGCTTTTTGTTCGATGAACTCTCTACTTTCTGATGGTGTAAAAAAATATACATTACTATGGTAAATGTTCTCAGAAAATACAAAAAATATTATAATGAATAACGTAATCAGAATGAAGTATCTAAATTCAATTGTATGATTTACATGTATTTTTATATTTTATGAGATTTTCTGACATAAATGTTAATAATTTAATAATAATAATAATTTAATAAATAAACTTTTTAACTGAAAAAAATTGCAACAATCACATTTTTTTGATGAAATTGTACATAATGATTAAAATAAATTTTCGAATTCGAGTTTTTTTCGTTATTCATTATAATATTTTTTGCATTTTCTGAGAACATTTACCATAGTAATGTATATTTTTTTTACACCATCAGAAAGTAGAGATTTCAACGAACAAAAAGCACACCGACTTTTTGAAAAAAGCTAATATTTTGACGCGAGAATTTTCGATTGAAAATTAGGGTGCTTTTTTGATATTAAGTCAAAATAAGGCGAAATAATAAATATTTCAAATCAAATAAATTACAGTGTATTTGGGACATAAAAAGGTAAGTTTTCACCAAATTTCGTGGAAAAAAATTTTTTTTTTGAAAAAGATAAAAATAAAAAACCAAAAACTTGGTTTTTTGAATTTTTCACATAAATTTTGAGGTTATGTAAAAAAAATGTAATTACAAAAGTTGTAGATCCTTTTATTACCTACAACTTTGCCATTTAACTTTTTTCCATAGGACTTGTAGTTTTGCCGGAAATCGAGATAAACCATTTTTTACCCTTAAACCCCCCCCTCCCACTTCCCGAAGTCAGATCGCCCGTAATTTATTTTTCATTTCATTTTTATTATATTCTTCTCCTTTTCCAATGGGTTTCATCCTACTGTTATTTTTTTGGTTTCAAAAATTATCGACCCTGGTCTAACAGTGATACTATCTAAAGTAAAATTCGACCAAATTAAATATAAGGTATAAAATTTTTTTTTAAAGAATTTTTGCAAAATAGATAAAATAGCATTAATAAAGAAATCATGTCATGCCTTTTGTCGCACTCGTCCATTACAAAACTCGACAAAATGACGTCTTATGACATTAGTTCTTTAATATACTATTATAATATGAAATATATTGAGCTCAAATTTTGCATGAAGTTATTTGAGGCACATCTGAATCGAATGCGCTATCCATTTTTTCGAAAACAAAAATCCAATGGACGATCTCTAAATTTAGCAGATCACAGCACACCTTGAAGAAAAGTTTTTTAAATTTTCTCACATGGTCAAATAGAGCTGATCTCATCGAGTAACATGTTAAAAAAAATAAAAATATCAATATCGGTCAACGCGGTAAAAAATAATGGGGTCTTAAATCGCACACACTGTACGTTTAAATATGTAAATACGGTTTAAATGCGCTTTTGTATAGTATTTTAATTTTACAAGGGGGACAACTGCCACTCTTGCCCCCCCTGCCGGCGCCTTAGGCGCCGCGCCTATTATGCATATGTTTTTTGTTATAACATATTTTTTATCTATACGTTATAGTATATTATCTATCAAGTTTGATAAAAGCCATTTTAGACTCGAATTTAATTTAGGCTACGACAAATAGGTACTTAATATTATCTAAAAATGATTTAAATTAAATATTTGTAGGGAGCGACATATATAAACCAATAACTATAACAACCAACTTGAAAATGGACCCTTCAATCCGATATAAAAGCAGTTTTTTACAGTGAAAGTTAAGAAAATGTTTTATTGGCACTAAGATGGAGTCTTTATCTGAAATTAAGTTAAATCTAGTTTACTGCCTGCAAAATTAAAAGGTCCGGTCAAACTTTTCAAGTATTGGCGTTGAGAAACTGTTAAATACTTTTGTATTGTTTTATAAAATTTTATAAATAGGGATATAATTTTTTTTTACATTTAGTATTATTTTACAAGAAGGGCACTTTATTTTAGCGATTGTTTCACATTTAATAACTGTCAAGTAGCTTAAAAAACTAACTTTAGCCCGTGACTAAAACCTGTTGCTAAAGCCACAACTTGTCACGCGAAATAGTTTTATCAAGTAAAAATAATTAAATTAAATAATAGTGTCCTGACCTCATGTCGTATATTGCGTTTTGTAATTATTTTATGTTATAAGGAAAATGACTCAGTGAAATTGACTATTAATTAGCAATTAGCCGGTTAAAATCAAAGACTAATTAAATAATAACCAAAACAAATGTCCGATAAACCGGTGACCTGCTTCGTTTTTCACAGATAACCGATATACGTATTTTATACAAGCGTCTTGTATTGGTAATTAGAGATAATTGTTGTTTCGTAACGAATTTGTTAACAATCGTTAATTAAAATTATGCCCTAATAAAATTCAATTTCAAACTGGTAAATAGATTAATAAAACACATTGTATGTTGTCTAAATGCGAAATAAACGTATTTTTTTACTCCCACCTTTAAAACGCCCATACCATACATATGTTTCCATGACACTAAGTGACCTTTTAAATACACATTGACAGGTTTTTAGTCACGGGCTTTAGTTGTCAAATGTTATACAACCGTTAAAATAAAGTGCCTTTCTTGGAAAATAATAATAAATGTGAACATTTTTTTATTATCTCAATACAAAAATACAAAAGTATTATATAGATTCTCAACGCCAATATTTGAAAAGTTTTAATGCACGTTGTTTCGACGGCAGTAAACTAGATTTAACTTAATTTCGGGAGGACACCCCACCGTGGAGTCTCGTAGTTGGAATGGTAACTCTATTGTTTTATAGAGGTCGTTCTATACAAATATTTAATTTAAATCATTTTTACTTAATAAAAGTATTTGTCGTAGATAATGTATAGGATGCAACTCGTTTATAAACTTTTGTAGACTCATTTAATTAAACACTCGCTCGCAAGCTCGCTCGTGCCTGCATTAAATTCGTGACTAAAATTGCGTTTATCAAACTTGATACATAATATACTATTTAACTGCAAGCAATGGGAAAAAAATAAATTTAAAGGGAACTCGTATCTGACTAAACATAATCTTAAAGTTCTTAAACCTGAATTATGAAATTGCGTAAGCTTCGAGCTACTGCAGGTGTATAAAATGCAAAAATTGCGCTTTCTAATTATTTAAATATTAAACTATAAATTGCATTATAGGTGTATTGTCTTATCGTTAATTTTAAAATTACTAATAAACTGTTGCGGAACACGTTTGTCTTTTTTCTTATTCGTTAGAATTATAATTAAATAATAAAAAGTCGGCGGATTTATTTACAAAGCGGTGTGTAATTATAAAAATGGCATTTGTTTACAGAAACAATTGGCATCAATGCTAATTTACACTATAAATCAACTTCATGCATATCAGGCGAAGCAATTATAAGTAAATTAAAATATAAACTGCCATTTATGCAGATTATTTTTAATTGTGTGTTAGCTTTATTATTTTTATTTGAATTTTTTAAATTCTTTTAAAGACATTTTCTTAAGGTAGGTAGTATCTCTGAAGAGATTCCATAGAATGTTATAAATGATTTTGTGAGGCACATTCACAAATAATTCAATTTTTTTACAGTTCAGATTCCAAGATATTAATTTATAAAGTTACATTTATTTTCATACGCCACAGTGTATTTTGTATCTCACGGCCTTGCTCATGAGGTTTCCTTAAAAAATAAACTAATAATCAAAGTTTAAGCTATCGACATGATCCTATTTTGTTTTTCAGACTTTGGAAACGAATTTTTGAAATAATCCATGGAAAATCTGTAGGAAACACTTCTGCACAAGTGTTATTTTCCATAGATTCTTTCAAAAATTCGTTTCTAAACTCAAGCAACAAAAGTGGTCTTGGAAATTGATTAATACAGTATATCTCAAGAAATTGATTAATACAGTATATCTAAAAAACACCTTTTTAAATTTTCAAATTTCGTGCTGTCAACACACAAAAATATAACAGTTTTAAACCATAGTTTAACTAAGTATTTTTTAAATACACTTTAGTGGCTTTATGGAGTTTTAGTCATGGGCTGAAGTTAGAAACAGGTTTTTAGTCACGGTCTGAAGTTAATTTTAAGTTAGTTGACAGTTGTCAAATGTCATACAATCGTTAAAATAAAGTGCCCTCATTGTAAAATAATAATGTGGAAAATATTTTTTCTACTCCCATTATGGAATATGACCGTTGTAATATCAATTTTTAATGTGGAGTGACGTATAATCCTTAAAGTATTACAGAATGAATTATTCTATCATCGGATGACGAAATAAACACTGGTGGCGACATATTTGTGTTTAATATCTAAGAAATTTTAGACAAATCCAACCTCACTTTTTCAGTTAAATTATTTTTCTAAATTAAATTTGTTATTAAAATGGCGTTTATCAACTATTTTATCTTGTTTTTGTTTTTAATGATAGCTTACCTACTTCTATTACATAATATTGAGTTTTTTCCGTATATAATAATAAATATTATAAATTCCCTGCATAATAACGGGAATAATGAACTCATTATTCACGTTGTTAGGCATCAGTGATTGGCCAATTCCAACATTCACTGAGTTTAAAATTGGGAGAAGGCTAAGGATAAGTACATTTAAAATTGGTAAAAAGTGAGGTTAACCATTTGACAGATGTCAAATTTTATTTATTTAATTTTGAAAATCATTTATTTTTCTACTTAATATTATGATTATGGGTATTATTCACTAGGATGATTTGAGTCTCTAGTCTGGCGACTCGGAACGCAAACCTCATCCTCGTGAATAATAGACTGCATTATCTCTCGTATAATAATATAGTATTAATTTGTAATGAAGTAGTAATTTGTTACAGCCTTCTAGGTATTATTAATTTATCAAACTCTTTAAATAGAGATATTACCTTAATAAAAAAAAAGTCGAAAACACTCAGTATAATATTTTTATTTGTTTGGTGTGATGTAATGCACGATCCCTTTACTATAGCATATTTTTAATTGATAAAAAAAAACGTATATCTTTAGTAAAAATTAAAATCAATTTTTATTTGTATATCATGAAAGTAGTATTTTATGCGCATTCCAGTCAAACTTCCCTTTTAAACAATCAACCATTAAAATATGAAATAAAATGGGTAATTGTCATTTATGATATACAATAACAAGCTCAAGAAATATTTATATAGATTTAAATATTCAATAGGATTTAATTATAACAATTTATTATCTTTATTGACATAATTAACTCGACATATTGTAAATTTATCTAAACATCCTTATTATTAAAATAATTACATTTTAATTAAAACTATAATAAAAATTAAATAAAGGAAAGTTGTCTCAATGACTATATATAGTAATCATTAAGGGGTACCATAATAGAAAAATAAATACCCTGCATCACAAAAAAAACCTAAATCAGACGGATACTACCAGTATCTAAATTCGGGGTTGGGAAAATTTCACTTTTTGCTTGTACTTGAAATTTCACTTCATTTTCATGACATTTATGAAATTTATTAAAATTTCGTAAATTTCTGAAATTTCATGAAATTTATGAAATTTATTGAAACTTTCAATACATTTCAATCACTTTAAGTGTAATATATTAATATTGAAATAAGCCCACTCGGGGACCATGGCAAATTGCCTCTCTTACCTCCTACCCCTCTGAGGGCCCCTGCACCAATAATATAAATAGTAAATACCTATGTTTACCACAAATTTCTTGAGATTTCCTTTTAAAATATCTTTAAATTTACTAAAACTAAAAGAGATATAGCACTTTACTGAAATTTTACGAAAATTGAAGAAACTTCATGAAAATTTTATGAGCCAAAGGCATTTTTTATCCGTTTTCCGATTAATTATAGCAAAAGTAAAAGTTTAAATTAATCATGACTTTTAAAAAAAATTACAAATTAAATTGGTAACTGAATTAAATTATATAAACTAATTTATGCATATAAGTAACAATAATTACTTATAGTGTATTCAAATCCAAGCCGAACTAAACAAAAACGCCCAGACGCTTGATAACTCGTTCTTATTGGTCGATTCGGAATCTGTTGTAAATTATTATTAAAGGTCCCAGGGGAGGCCGCATGTAAAATTTATGCGAAATTTTCAGTGAATTGCGAAACTTTCAATGAAATTTCTGAAACTTTCACAGGCAATGTTGAAATTTTCGGATTGAAAATTTCATTTGAAATTTTTATAAATTTCACTTTTCCAACTAAATGAAATATTTCAAGTTTGAAACTTTCAAACTTGAAATTTTCATTTGAAAATGAAAATTTCAACTGTCCCAACCCTATCTATATTCAATGTAAAATTACACACCAATAATCTAATAGTCTATTTTCGCTTAAAATTGAAACTTTGTTTTGTTGCAGGCTTACGCGTTAAGCCCCGCGGGCCCCGTGTACACAGGACCGGGCGCGAGCCCCACGCAGGGGGGCGGCGAGCCGTTCGCCGCCGACAGTCCGTATTTTCCGTTTAGCGCGCGTCCCGGCCCGGGCGGCCGCCTCTCGTCGGCCGCGTCGCCCGCCAAACCGAAGGCGGGCGGCCTCAGACCGAGCAAAGAGGAGCCGCAGCATCCGCCGCCGGCCAGCATCGAAAATCAGCAGTGGGGAGTGGTAAGTCCAAACTAAGTTGTCTAGTTTTTTGTTTTCAAAAATAAGAAAATATATGATACATACTCTAAAGAAGTATCGCTAGTAGCGCACCACTCGGCTATCATCGTAACAAAAGTACAACTTTTAATAATGAGCTGTCAAACGCTTATGTTACACACAAGTGTTTTTGAGAATAAAGCCGGAAAATGTTAAAAAACATCGAAAAAAAAACGTGGATCGATTTGTTGTGTTGTTGGGTGTATTTCAAGAGGAAATCCTGCGTTGAGTTTTTACCGATTTTCCAATAAACTATAAATAAACTGAATGAAGAAATAAATTGCATACAGTCTCTGTAAATATAAATTGTACCTATTAGATACAATAAATACACATTTTAGTAGTGATTAAGGTGAAAAGTGTAAACATTTTAATTCAGTAAAAATAGTCAAAGAAATAAGTCGTCTAAATTTAAATAGCATTTAGCACTATTAAAAGCGTTGATTAAGAATTCATTAAAGTCTCCCCTCAACGGTAAAATTCCATTATATTATGTATTATATATAATATTTAATATAATTATTAGGGTGTGCCAAAAAAACTCTATATTTTTTTGCTTGCTCTCCACCCAAAATATCGTAGAATATGTCCGAACAAATATTCTGTTAAAAGCGGAGCTCATAATTTCAATTTTAAGAGGTCCTCCATCGAATCTGAAGTTTTGCCGCTTAAATAACACAGAAAACTGACTTTTTTACCTTATTTATTCTTGCAACCTAGGAAGAATTTTTTTTATCATAAAATCCATGACTAATTCTTACAAAGCATTAAATTTGGACAAAAAAATCTTATTAAGCCGAATTTCTATTTTCATTATTTGATTTTTTACAGAGCTTTAAATTTAAAGTTAATAATACAAAAATGATGACTTTATACGTCTGTAACTTTTAGAATATTGACAAAAACTTTTTTGTGGTCCATCAGACAAGCTAAAAAAATTGCCATTTGACTTTTTCGTCTAACTTCAATAGTTTAGCTGAAAAAGGCAAAAAACGTAAAATTTTAAATTTAAAGCTCTGTAAAAAATCAAATAATGAAAATAGAAATTCGGCTTAATAAGATTTTTTCGTCCAAATTTAATGCTTTGTAAGATTTGGTCATGGATTTTATGAAAAAAAATTTCTTCCTAGGTTGCAAGAATAAATAAGGTAAAAAAGTCAGTTTTCTGTGTTATTTAAGCGGCAAAACTTCAAATTCGATGGAGGACCTCTTAAAATTGAAATTATGAACTCCGCTTTTAACAGGATATTTGTTCGGACATATTTTACGATATTTTGGGTGAAGAGCAAGAAAAAAAATATCGACTTTTTTTGGCACACCCTAATAATTATGTTGCCATGAATTCGTAGGTATATTTTGTTGTTTAAAATGCAGTTGTCGGCGTTTTTTAGAGAACTCAAATATAAAAATGGTTTATTTTGAGGTTATGTTTGTGCAAAAATTATTTTTTACTAATTTCTTAAAAATGTCCAAACTTAAAAATAAATTATATTAGGTAAAGTTATCATTAGTTAATTCTGTACCAACAAATGTACTTACCGAATTGGAAAACAAAAAACAATTATCAACAAAGTAATCAATGTAAATTTTTAATGAATGTTGATTATTATTCCACTGTGCATGCATATTTTGCGTCAGTTGTTATAGGTCATGAACAACCAGTGGCGGCCCCAAATTTCTACTTTCCTTATAAAATGATAGAGGTAAAACTTTCTCAAGAAGGTTGTGAAGAAATAGCCATATTGGATTAATTTATTTTCCTCTATTAGTTACTTATGCAAAGTCACTAATTTCTTACGCCAGGAAAATATATGCGAATTAACATTCCATCTTCGTTGACGCGTCCCCACTCTCACCATTATCAATTTTCGCACACACTGACGCAATTGTCACATCTAAATGAGTTAAGCTCAATCATGGTACAATAAAACAAGGTATATCCTTCAGTAGGACGAATTTTGGTTTTATTCCCGCCTTTGAATTTAAATATTATTCTCTTATAAAATTCATTCAAATTTCTATAAAATTGTTTTAGTCACATTTCGAGAAAATATTAACTATTTTATAGGAGTGTTCAATTAAATAAAATACAATACAAATAAAATATCGCTTTAAAGTAAAAAATATTTACTAAATACCAAACAAAATATATGAAAAAAACTGATAAGAAAAATTTATTTATTATTTTAGTTTTTGGGTTAAATGTTTTAAATAATGGGTTTTCAGGTAAAATATCTTGTTTTAAAGCCATTTATAAGTCAAATGTTTTCAATAAAATAAATTATCCTGTTTTAAAGCAAATAATGAAATAAAAAGTGTCAAGTTACAACATTAACATTGCGAGAAAAATGTAAACAACATATTTTTTCAAATTTATTTATTAAAAAATCGTATTTACAGATAGTTGCAATTTAGTACCTAGTTTTTTTATTCGAACTTGACGATGTCAAAAATTTAGGTTGTTGCAAAATAAAAACCCTAAATTGTTCAACATATGGAGCCTCTATATATTGAATAAAACAAACTAAACTTGTTAAAAATATTATATTAACGGAATGTTTCAATCCCGGGCTATTTCATTATCAGCAGCAGTTTGTGTTTCTGTTAAAGATCATTAGCTTCCTCGTCTTGGCACATTTTTTGCACAATGCAAAAAAATATTTAATTTTGATTTATTTTGTTTTTCAAAATTTATTTTAATTTCTTACACTGCAGTACAAGTTCATGTACTTGATTTCTTAGAGTTTCTGTTATGGGCTGTCTTCAAAGATCATATTATGCTTCCTGGTTTTGTCCTATTTCTAGTTCACTGTAAAAGGAACTATGATTAACAAATTACTTCATTTATTTTATGATAGATCAGCTGTGAAGTGTAAATTTGGAACAGTATCAACTTTTAAATACTTTAATATTTTTAATTTTTTTAAATTACAATGTTTGTTTAATAATCATTATAATAGGCACAAAACATCGGTTAAATTGTTTAACAAATGTAAACAGTTAATGTTTATCAACAAATAAAATTGTTGACTAATATCGTGTATTGTTAAATCAATTTGTACAAATGTTGGTTTTTAGTTAAAAGGTGTACACTTATTTTATAAAGAATATAAATGTAAGCAACATAATAATGTAGTCGTGTTTATAGATATTTGTGTTATTTTTTCTGAGGGCAATACGAAAACCGACTTTTGTATTTGTCGAAGTTAATAGAGCGATCGCCATAAGTACGGCAAAATTTACGGCGGCTCGGGCCGTAAAGGACCCGTACTAAAACCGTTTACGGTATAAGAAACGGACAGAAAAAGGGCGCAACGCCATCGTTTAAATAACCTTTCGCGTATTCGAGTGCGTATCGCGCGTTGACAAATATCTAGTACGCAAACAACAAAAAACCAGCAACAGCAAAAGGCGAGTCTCTTGGAATTGATTTTCAGCAAGATAATGGCCCTGTCTGTTACGGCAAATCGTTCGGAACCGACCCTTCGCAGAAGGGTTTCGCCGGAACGAGAGGGATGGGGACTGTAAATTAATTTCAAGGAGATTTAATGCGGTAATTTCGTTACGAGGGTTTATGGACGTTTTTGCTCGAATTTTTATTGCAATGAATACTTAAATAGTGTTTCCAATTCAGTTCGCAAGGATTGACAATAAAATGCATACGCGTTAATTTCAAATTTGGTTACAAGGTTTTAAAACTAAAATATGGTTTCTTAATCAGTTTTTTAATGACAAGATTTGTTGGTATTCAACAATATTTGTCTAACGTTACATTTTTTCATAACATTAAAAACTACAAGATTATTTTAAGGCATGCGAATGGGGTGCCGTTTTATTTTTTATTCAGGAATTGTTTTATGTGTTAATACCAGGGCTGGCAAATATTATGATATTTATATAAATATCAAAATATCTTATATATATCCGATATACTTATATCAAAATTTGGATATTTATTTCTTTTTTTATTATAACTATTTAAAATTCAAAATTACTTAATTTATTATAATTTTAAAATTTTATAAACTTGTAAATTTGTATTTCAATTCTATTCTATTCAATGAAAGTTGCTATCGCAATAACAAGTTTTTTTAGTACTATAGAATGTATAGAAATGTAAAATGTAGGTAAAAAATACAAGTTTATGAATATAAACAAATCAACAAAAAATTGATAAACTACAACAGCCAATAGAAAACAACAACTAAAATAATATTTTTAATAAAAAACAAAAAACAATAAAAGGAGTAAAAAAGGCTGGCTATAGAGACCGAATGTGAATCTTCATTTTCATTTGTAGAGGGATTTTCTAAATGTTTCTGTTACTCCAGCCAAACCCAATCAAGATCACATTTTTTTAAATGGCCTCTGTTGCGCAAAAAAATATTGATATAGATATATCAGGATATTTATCACTGATATATGTCCTGCCGACCTGGTTAACACTAGAGTGATATTTTCACACATAATATAACAAGTGGTATGATTATCATCGATGATATTTTCGAATTGAAACCGAGCTGCAGATTACACGAGTTCGCAGGACGAGTGAAATGTGCTGCTTCGGTTTCAATGAGTAAATATCTTCGATAATTAATCATACCACGAGTTATATTTAGGGAGAAAATATAATGAATTTTAGGATTTAACAAATTGTCAGTTTGACATTTGAAATTAAAATGTGCTTTAAAATATAAAAAGACTTTAATAAACCTTATTTATTCAAACTTACCTTTATTTTATTATCGTTTACACCAACCCATCGATCATTTAGAGTTTATAATTCATTATTTTAATCATTTTACAAACACAGTATTTAAATGTCAACAAATGTCAAATTAAGAAAAGTGTCAAAATCCTTAGCAACGTGTAAACAAAGTGATAAAAAATATTGTCGCTGTGATAAAATGCGTAACCATGGAATACTGGCATTTTATTGGTTCTAATTATAATGAATTTTATTG